GTGGCTGGTTCTTTCTCCAGGGCTCCAGCACAGCTGACCCTGGGCCTGACGGCCACGTGTAGGTGGCCCAGTGGAGAAAATTACCACCACGTCTGTGACTGTCCCGTTGTCTAAAATGGGGGTGACAGTTCCTACCCCAAAGGGGCTTTGTGAGGATGGAGTGAGTCACACTATGCAAAAGCCACAGAATGGTGCTTAGCACACAGTTGGTGATTTTTTTTCTATACTCATTATTCCTAACTCCTAGAACTGCTTATTCATTGATCAAGCTGCCAAGGAATATTTAGTTGATGTCTTTTGTGTGTTAGACACTATAACAGATGCTACAGGGAATAGGAAAAAAGCCAGGTTTTAAATGCAGAACTTGCCCTAATATTGGACTAGGGGGGAGGAAGAGATGCTGTGAGGGGGCTGGGGACCCTCCCCACAAACAGAATGGCTGTGTCCTAGGTCCTTCGGGAGATCCCAGCCTTCGATGTCACCTACACGGCCATTGTCATCTCGCACTCCGGGCGCATGATGTTTGTGGGCACCTCGGTGGGGACCATCCGTGCCATGAAATACCCTCTGCCTCCGCAGAAGGAATTCAACGAGTACCAGGCCCATGCTGGGCCAATCACCAAGGTGAGCAGGGGCCCTGTCCTCGGGAGTCCAGCCCCAGAACTGGCCCTCGATGGGCCCAGTGGACCTTCCAGAGACCCCCTTCATCCCTGCAGCCGTCCAGCATCTGTCCTCATGCATTCGTCATCACTCTCCTCAGTTACTCATCCCGCTATCTGTTCAATTAACATTTATTGACCACTAATATCTGTTGAAACTGCTCCTAGGAACATCCCGGGAAATAACCAGATATATCCAAAGTCTACGTACAAGTTTTTTCCCCATGATATTGTACATAATATGGGGTGACTTGAGAGCGGCAGGAGATGGCCCACCCAGGTCCCCTTTAGCCGGTGAGTACCCCCAGCTCCTGGCTGGAATGGAGGCTGCTGTGGGACCTGGCCCTCCTCACCCCTGCATGTCCCGGACTGAGAGGAGATGAGCTCCCGCCCCTCCCTGCGGGTCCAGAAGGCCTTCCTGGGGGTCGTGACACAAGCGCGTGTCTGTAATATCCCTCCCTGGTCTCCTTGCTAAGCGAGGCGTACCTGTGTTTACAGGGAGTCCTGAAGCACAGGCACTGGGGAGGTGTTGTCTCTCCTGCCGCCTCCCCTCGTATTCCAGGTTGGGGCACTCCAGCTCCTGAGGGTTTAATTATCTCTCAAGCTTTATGGCTTAGGTGCAGACACTCTGCTCATTAAGAGAGGACTTTTCATTATGAGCTGGAATATTCCTTAACTGAGCCTGGGGTCTTGGGTTTTGTGGATAGATACTTAGTTTGGGGATTATAAAAGTAATCCATGTTTATTTCTCATAATAGCATCATCATAAATATTTTGATACATTTTTTCTACTCATATATATATATAGTATGTGCTTTAAATAAATGGAGATCACACTTCTATGTACACTCTTTTTACACCTGTTTTTAAATTAATTTTATTTAAGGAAATTGATTTTATTTAATGAAGTTAATCAATTTTATTTAATGAAATTAAATAATTTAATGAAATTAATTTAATGCAATTAATTAATTTAATGAAATTAATTTTATTTAACAAAATTGATTAATTTTATTTAATGAAATTAATTTTATTTAACGAAATTAACTTTATTTTTCCATATACTTAAATAATCTTCAATTATATCATTTTAGTAGATCCACAAATATCATATGACAGACCCTAACCTATTTAACTCTGAGCACAGCTCATTCAAATTGTCTTATGAACTATAATCAATACCCTAAATTACAGATTTACATGGCCCTAAACCTAAATACCTAGACTGAGAACTCCTGAGTGAAAGAATAATTCCATTTTTAAGGTTTTTGATAAACCCTTGCTGGTTTTATCATTTTTGAGTTGATTCTTTTGTTTTCCCTTTTTATTTTGAAATAATTAGAGAGGAAATCTTCAAGATAGCATGGAAGTCCTGAATACCCTCCCTTCACCTCCCCCCACGTTATGTTGAAAGGAGACATTGGTGCAGTGTGTGTTGGGGGGGAGAGGGTTTTGTGTCACCTCATCACATGTTAGGTTGATGAACCCCCACTGTGATTAAGGTGCAAAACCGGGCCATCCCCACAAAGAGCTCCCTTTACAGACACACCTACCCGCTTACCTGCCTCCTGTAGAACCTCTTCTGTGAAATGTTTCTTTCACCCACTTTACAGTTGGATCATTGCTTTTTGAGAGTTCTTTGGTCTCTACAATAACTGACTCTTAAAATTCCAGGAGGCGGCAGACCTTGCTTCTTTCATTCAGTAACATAAGCCCATGGGCTCCTCTCTGATTCCTGGCCAGGGCCAAGTCTTCCTCCCAGTCCAGTTGTGTCCAGACTACGTGATGGGGTGGGGGTGGGGGAGCCTTACACAGTGGCCAGCTCAGCCCCCATCATCCACGACCTGGAATGCCTGGCCTCCACGGTCTTTTCTCCTCAGATCTTGCTCACCTTTGATGACCAGTTCCTGCTGACTGTCGCCGAGGATGGCTGCCTGTTCACCTGGAAGGTCTTTGACAAGGAAGGTCGGGGAATCAAGCGAGAGCGGGAGGTGGGCTTTGCCGAAGAGGTGCTTGTTACTAAAACAGACATGGAAGAGAAGGTAAGAATGGGATCTCACCAAGAGGGACTTGGAAATTCCTTACCACCCTGCCCTCCAGGCTCCTGAGAGATGGCATTCCCAGCCCCTACGGCCAGGGCCCGGTGCAGGCTCGTGGCTGTGCACATCCCCTGCCCCCCATCACTCCAGGGTGGCTCCTCGCTGCCCGCTGCCACCTGACCTGTGCCCACTTCCCCTGCCTGCCACTCTGCCCCTGGCCCCATGCCCGACAGCATGCCCGCCTTCAGCCTCAGGACTGGCTTCCTCTTTCTTCTTTGATGTGGGTGCTCTGAGGTGACTGACAGTTTCCAGCACCTGCCACTAATTGATTGTATATGGGGAACTTTGGGGAAAAAAAAAAAGGATTTAGATTACAGTCCTGAAACTCACTCTCCAATGATAACATGATCAAGGGGATAATACCCAGTAACCAGTGTGTTCTCAGGTTTGCCACGAACCAGGCAGTGTGCTAGTTATTTTGTGTGTTCTCATTTAAAACTCACATCTCTAAGGAGATTGATGATTCTCCTCATGTTTCAAGAAGTGGGAGTGGAGGACTTAGTGACATATCTAAAGTCAATGAGCTAGTAAGCAGTGGGATCGAAGTTCTGATCCAGATTTAAAGTAGAGCCCATTCCTTCAGTCACTACCCCAGCACCCTCCTCCCGACACCCTCCGCCCCCACTTCCTGCAGAGGACATTCCATAAAGATGTGTCTGGAGATCTGAAATTGCTTAGCGCTGTGCTCCATGCCCTAGGAGAAGTCAAATGGGCAGCAACTCACAAGACTTGCAGAACATGGCAAACCATGTGCTCACCGGGGTTCTTTCAGAATCTAAAGTGCATTTAGTGACTACTTACTGTTTGCTAGGGGATGAATGTGTGAAGACACAGACCTGAGGCCCTGACATCAGGAAACTGAGAATCAAGTGAGGGGTGAAGACAAGTAAAACCTCAGTGCAGCAGTGCAGAAATGGCCAGTTCACCTCACTATGAATGTTCATTCTCTGTCCTTCTCCCAAAGGCTCAGATTATGTTGGAGCTGAAGACTCGTGTGGAAGAACTGAAAATGGAGAATGAGTATCAGCTTCGACTAAAGGACATGAACTATTCCGAGAAGATCAAGGAGCTCACAGACAAGTTCCTCCAGGAAATGGAATCCTTGAAAACCAAAAATCAGGTCTGTACGAGAGGCAAAACCAACCAGAAGTAACAAGAAATTCCCATTTCACACAGGAGGGAACTGGCATGAGCTCAAGTAGGTGGCAGTATACTACTTTAAAGCCTCGCTGCTAAGATCAGAAATGCTTTCAAGAAATGTCTGTAATGAATGCTATTCATTAGGTAAAAATAAATACACATAAAACATTTTTTTTTAAAGAATACAGCTAACAAGGTGATTATCTCTGAATGTTGACATGAAGGCCAATTTAAATTTTGGTCTTTAGATTTTACTGTAATTTCTAAATTTTCTATAATGAGACTAGATTAGCTCTACAATCAAGAGACACTTACTTTAAAACAAAGCAAAAAATTAGTGAGAAGAATAGTATAGAAAGGGAAGAGCCAACAGAATACTGATTTCTGGGGTGTCAGGTTAAATCAAGAGATGCTAAATAGTCTTCTATAGTTAGATTTGGTCCAGAACTTTATCAAACTAATTGCTGTTCTACACAAATCTGCCTGGTTCTTCATCCAAAGTCCCCCAATTTTTTTGTTCAAGGGGCATTTGTCTGTTTATATTATCTTCTTGGATCATAAAATTTGACTTTAAAAAAAGGAAGGAGAAAAAAAAAAACCTTCATTCACTTAACAAGCATTTACTTGCCCTCTGTATGTAGAACACAGTTACATCCGAGAATGGCACCCAGCTGTCTACAAGCTCTCCTGCTTATTAAAGAAAACATTTCCTTTGAAGCTGACACATTAAATATCTAAGGTGTGGCTAACAGCAATGTGCAGACAACAGAGGATTTGAGCAAACCCTTGCTTTTCCATGCCCAATTTCTGTGCTCCGGTCCTCATCATTGACAAAAGCATTTAGTAGACAGGACAGAGAGGACTCTAGAAATGTAGGAAAGAATATAATACACATAGAAAGTGGTAACGTGATTGTTGCTCCCAGGACAGTGCTCAGAGCACAGGGCTTGAAGGAGGATGCCCTCAGTGCTTTCAGCAGATGTGTGAAAATGAGAACATTTGGCTCTGCTTTAGGTTTTAAGAACAGAAAAAGAGAAGCAGGAGCTTCTCCACCGTGACCGCATGGATGACCTTCTGGACAGGCAAGCCCGGGAACTGCAGGACCTGGGTGAGCCCCCTTCCAGGCCACATGGGCAGAAGTGGCTAGGGGTGAGAGGCATAAGTCGGAAGCCCCAGACCCAGCTTTGTCTGTAAACAGGCTACATTGTCCCTTGGAACTTCCCCATGGTTTTTCCCGCTGGGTATTTACTCACTCATTAAACACCTACTGCATGCCAGTGGGAGATACAGAAAGGCACAGGCTGGAGGCTTGGAAGGTGGCCTTGGGCCTCAGACTCACCACCTGTTCGCTGAGTGTTCTACAGATCTTCTTAGCTCACCCAGCCTCGGCTTACTCCTCTGTAAAGTGGGGGTATTAGCACCCATTTGCACACTCAGGACATCGTTTCTTGGTTCTGAACCCCCAAACATCTTTTGTACTTTCCCGCAAAGCTCTTTGCCTAGAGCGTAACGTGGGAGGTGGTAGTTTGCCTGATGACTGGTGGAGGGGGAGACAGGTGAGGAGGTTGGGCAGGTTGGAGACGTTCTAGATGCTGCTGGAGGACATGGAAAAGCCCCCCCCCCCAAGCTCCTGGGTGGCACAGGGGCTGGTCCTGCCGTCTCACCTGAAATGATCCCCTTGCTTCTCTCCAGAATGTTGCAACAACCAAAAGTTGCTGCTAGAATATGAGAAATACCAGGAGTTGCAGCTCAAGTCCCAGAGGATGCAGGAAGAGTATGAAAAGCAGCTTCGGGATAACGACGAAACCAAGAATCAGGCCCTGGAGGAGCTGACCGAGTTTTATGAGGCCAAACTGCAAGAGAAAACCACCCTTCTGGAAGAGGTGCTCACAGGAGGCCCAGCCGTGTCCCCTCACGGTGCCAGACCTGGCCTGGGAGCAGCCCAGAGGGCTGTGGGGAACCTGCCCACCGGCCTCCCTCTCTTAACTTCCTTTCGGCTTGTGTTTTGTTCAGCCATGTCTTGTGCTGTTTTGTGAGTTTCCCTGTCGACCAGGGTCTCACTGAGCTGTGGGGTGCTCAGCCTGTGAGACAGAATTCCTTGGATAGACTCGGTTCATACCTATTGTATCCTAGCTGTGCCTCCAGGCCTTAAGCACTGGGGAGACCTTTCTAGAAGAGGCCTACAGGACCAGGAGAGGAACATGGCCCAGCAGGGGGAAAGGTGATTTTCTAACGCCCTTTAGTGACTTCTTACTTCATCTTACAAGGTGAAATCATCCATCCACCGATTTGACAGACACAGGTAGCCTTGACACAGGTAGCTTCTCATTGGTTCACCAGCCTGAGTGCTCAGTGGTCAAGAGCAGTAAAGTGGGACCTGTTTTTAGGGGGTTAAGGGAGGCCAGCCCCTCCATCCTTCTCAGAGAGCCATGCACAGGACCCTCAGGGAAGGCAGACACAGGCCCCACACTGCCTGGGAGCCCAGGAAGACCTGCAGGAGCAAATGAGACCCAGAAGGAATGGAGCAGTCAGCACCCAGCAGCCAGGTGACAGGGAAATGCAGGAGGGAAGGGCAGAACCAAGTCGTAGTCTTTAGCTGCGTAACGCGTATCCTAAGCTGAAGAGGAATGAGAGGTCAGATGGCCTCCTAGGCCTGTGGCAGTGACAGTGCCCGGTGTGAGGGGCAGGCGCATTGTGAAGGTGCGGGGCAAATTTTAAAGGGGGAGACTAGAAGAGGCCTGGCAGGCTGGGAGCTGAGAGCCCCGTGAATTCTGGCTGTGTTCACCGTCCTAGCTGGGGTCTCCTCCACAGCAAGGCTCAGCAAGCAGGTGTGCGAGTGAGGACAACAGAGCCTTCCTGATTCATGGCTGTTTCCACTGGGTGAAGCCACAGAAATTAAAGGTGCACTGGTCACCAGCCTTCAGGTCCAGGCCAGAAAGTGCCGGGGAGGAGCCAAGAACCTGAGAGAGTGGAGGAACCAAGACAGGGCCAAGGCCATGGAGAAGCTGAGAACCCGGATGGCCTCCCTGTGGGACCCACCAGGGAGCAGGGTCTGGCCCTGAGGACCTCAGAGAGGGCACCTCCCAGGGCAGGGCCTGAGAGTGGGGCTGAAGCAGGGGTGAGGCAAAGGTCAAAACCCCAGGAAACAGCATGGACTCCTCCGTAATCAGCCCCGATTACGGTCAGGAAGCCTGTGAGGGCATCTGGCTGGAAGTGTTCGGGGACCCAGGAAGGTGACCAGGTAGTCAGGGAGAAGGTGGAGACAAGTGGAAATAGGGTCTCACAATGCAGGAGCTCCAGCAGGCTGAGCACCCGCCCCCAGCAGGGGCCCCCCTGAAGAACCCTCCCCCCACTCCACCCCACCCCAGCCCTGTGCCTCCTGGGGTCCCACAACCTGCAGAATATTCCTCAGCACAGTTTTCACAAGCCTCCCTGACTTGGCCCCTCCACAGTGTCATCGTGTCCAAACCCCTCAAATCCAACAACAGGGAGCAGGGCGTGTTGGGGGGGGTGGGGCTCCCGCACAGCCCCCGAGTGTCAGCTTAGGGGCCTCTCTCCCCAGCAGCCCTGCTCCCTCCTAGCTTAGGCAGGCTGCATTTGCTTCCCTTCCCCTAGCACTCTCGGGTAGGAGCTGTGTCTCCTGCACTACTGCTTCTTAGCATCTCCATGCTCCCGCACATTCTCGATGCTCCAGAAATGTTGGCTGATCGCTAGTAAACTGACCTGAGCACTGCCTTTTGGCATGAGTCTACCCAGAGCGGGCAGGCCTGGCCCTCTTCCCAGGAGCTCCTACAGCCACAGCAATTACCAGGCATTTTTGCTATTGAGTCAGTAAGATGTTAATGAAGAACTTTCCTAAAGAGCTCCCGCCTGATTTGGGCTTCTCTCACATTTTAGCGACATCCCCTAGACCGCAGCAGGGACCCACAGGCCCCTCCAGGCAGCAGAGGGGACTCGCTAGGTTTCTGTGTGGCAAGGATCTGGTGCCCTGAGATGGACAAAGAGAGAAGCCTGGAGGCCGTTGAGCCCAGGTTTAAAGCCATATTGTGTCTCTTAGCCCCCCAAAACCTTCAGTCCAGGGACGGTACATACAACCTGGGGGGACTGCCAGGTCACGCTAGGAAGAAAGTGGTGGTTCTTCTGCCAGTCACTTGGTGGCCACAAGCACAGCAGAGTCACACCCAAACGCCAGGCAGAGTTCTGGTACATGATGGGTGCTGAGTGAGTGACAATCAAGAGCCCAGATGCTGAGCATCAATCTGAAGAAAGCCATTTTCACCCCTGGCTTTTTTTTTTTTTTTTTTTTTTGGCTTGGGGGTGTTAGTAAGGGTCAAAGACCTTGGTCTCCATCTCCGCCTTGGTGGGAGTCCCATGTGGTCACCACCTCCGCTCAGCACAGAGGCTCCAGGTGTCCCTGTTCCCCCAGGCTAAGCCAACCTTTCTCCAAGCCAGGCACAAGAAGATGTCAGGCAGCAGCTGAGGGAGTTTGAAGAGACCAAGAAACAAATTGAAGAAGATGAAGACCGAGAAATCCAAGACATCAAAACCAAATATGAGAAAAAGCTTCGGGATGAAAAGGAAGCTAACCTGCGGCTCAAAGGAGAGACAGGCATCATGAGGAAGAAGGTACTGGGTTCCTGGGGCTGGCAGGGCCATTCTGCAGAGAAAGCGGGCAGGTGCCCACAGCACAGTGGGCGCCTTGCCAGTGCCTCTGCCCTGCTTGCAGGGGCCCCGGGGGCGGTACCCTCAGGCAGACAGAGCCATACCACAAACTCTGAAGGGTGCCTGGTGGGAGTCCCCTTCTCCTTCATTTTCACAGGGGTAGTGAGGTTCAGAGTGAGAGTCGGGAACACTCTCTGGGCTTCCATTTATTGGCAAGATTTAGTCAGTCTTTAGAGCTAATCCTTGGATAGAAAAGGAAATGAGGTCTCTGGAGGTGTCCCCAGGCTCTGGGTGCAGGGAGTCGTGGCTCCTGCTTGGAGTGTGGAGGAAGGAGTGAAGGTGTGAAATGCTTAGTTTCAAGGTGGGGCAATTGTTTTTAAATCACTGAGGATGTGAGGAGGGATTTCAACTTGCAGATCTTTGTAGACTTCCCAGTTTCCCCCAAAACATTTAGCCTTAGAGAAGCCAAGTTCAAAGCATTCAGGTGCTGTCCTATTAGAAGTCATGCCAGTAACAAAGCCAGGGGACAACTGTGTCTTCCCTCCTTAGACGTAGCTAAGATGGCTCATTAGTGAGGGTCCAGTCTCCCTGACCTTGATGGGGCCTGGGTCTCAGCACTTCAAGGTCAGTGTGGTCACAGAAAAGTCTAGCTCCATCCACTCAGGATGCTGGTCTCTGGCATCTGTTGAGGAGACAGCCCCTCTTCCCCACAGGGGTTGGACTGGGCCCTACCAGACAGGATACTGCCCTGTTCACCTGCTTGGGAACAGGGGAAGCTCCTTCGGTGTGCAGAGCTGGCAGGAAGCAGAGATGAGTTCCAAGGTGACTTTGGTGGTCTTTGTTGTTGCTGTTTGCCTGCAGTTCAGCAGCCTGCAGAAGGAGATTGAAGAGCGAACCAACGACATTGAGGCCCTGAAGGGAGAGCAGGTGAAACTGCAAGGCGTCATCAAGTCCCTGGAGAAGGACATTCAGGGCCTCAAGCGGGAGATCCAGGAAAGAGATGAGACGATTCAGGACAAGGTAAAGGCTCATCCGTCCCCCTCTGAGGACTCAATGGGCCCAAGCCCTGGGCACGAAGCTCAGGAGAGAGGGTCCCTGGCTTTCAGCACCCCGATGGGGGTGTGCCCACTGTGTGCTCGTACTGGGCTGACTGCTGTAAACACATCACATTCAATCCTCCCAACAGCCCAGGGGCTACAAGCACCCCATTTACACAGCGCAGGAAACTGGATGCTGGGAAGTCAAGTGTCTTGTCCAAGGTCATGCAGTTTAAAGGTGACAGATGTGGGATTAGAGCGTGAGTCTGCTGGCTACAAGGCCCCACACCCACTGCTCCAGGCATCCTTGGGTGACCACCCCCTCAGCCCAGGCTTGCTCATCCAACCCCATGACCACAAGGTCCCCCTCATCCCAGGGGAGACCCGCCCCCCCATGGAGGCCTGGGACGCAGGGTAATTCAGGCCGCTGGGGTCACTCTTTGGGATGCCTTTCTCACGAAGCACACAGGACACAGACACCTCACCTTTAGTGTGGTGTAGCACCTCAGTGTCCCAATGCTCCTCTCGTCCTCCTGAGCAGGTCCAGGCCCCAGGCCCTGTGTCCATCCTGCCTGCCATTCTACCCGAGCAGGCCCGGCTTTCCAGTGGCTGAGAACACAGGCGTGGCACTAGCTGGCTGGATTCCAGCACAGGCTCCTTCATTTGAAAGCTACAGGCCCTTGGACAGCTTCTCTAGCCTTTTATTCTAATCCATGAAATGGGTCCCCTCAGGGGGACCATTTAATATCCCATTAAATGGGATGGTGTGAGCATGAAATTCCTGCAGGCAAATGTTTATATTTATCTATCTGGGTCCAGAACGTTCTTCAGATGCCCAAAGAAGGAGCTGACAAGAGTGAAGCTGAGATGTCCCTACAAGATTGCATCAGCCTCCTAACAGAAAAGTCTTCTTTCCCACCTCCAACCTGCTCCCTGCCACTATACTCCTTAAGTCACCCTCCCCCAGAAAATCCTTCTGTGGCTCCCCATTGCTTATGGTAGGGGTATGCAAACTTTTTTCTGTGGAGAGCTGGGTAACAGACATTGTCAGCTTTTGCAGACCAGGTCTGTACCCAGCTATGCAGTTCTGCAGGCTAGTGTGGAATTAGCCATAAACAACACGTAAATAGCCCAGCTGGGGTATGTTCCAGTAAAACACAAACGGGCAGCAGACCCGCTCTGACCCAAGGGCTGTAGTTTGTGGCCTCCTGGGTGCATCCGAAATCCTCCAACACTGCATGTAAGACCCTGGCTGCCTTCCCTGTTCCCCCTCCCCCTCCTCCCCCCTTTCCAGACCAACCATCCTTTTACACAGAGGCCAGCTATTCCCGGCCCCTCTGACGACACCGCTCCCTCTCTGGGACTATATTTGACATGGCTGCTTTCCCAGTTAGTGTTTTCAGCATAAGGGCAGGGCCTGTATCATACTTTGTTTGGAATCTCAACCCTTGACAAAAGGTTAATGTTTCCTGATCCTTTTTCCTATTGCCACGCAACAAATTGCCCCACAACTCAGTATCGAAAACAACTGTTTGCTCTCGTCCCAGATTCTGTGGGTCTGGAATCTGGACAGTGCACAATGGGATGGCTTTCCTTTGTCCCCAATGTCTGGGGCCTAGTTGGGCTTCAGTCAGGGATCATTCGAACAGCCAGGGGCTGCAGGATGAGCACCCAAGGTGGTTTCTTCATTCACAAGCCCAACTGCTTGGTGGGGCGTCACCAGCCCCGTCGGCCAGGGCCCCTGACATGCTGTCCAGGCAGGGGGCTCAGAGTCGAGGGGCTTCTGACATAGCAGGTGGCTACCCCGAGCAGGTGTCTAAGAGAACCAGGTGGGAACTGCTTGGCCTCTCCAGAGCCAGGCTGGGAAGCCACACAGTATCACCTGAGCTGCGTCCTTTAGCCTGCGGGGGGCCCTGAGTCCAGCCACCTGGGCGGAGGGGCCCGGAGCCTGCCTAGGAGGGCACAGGGTCGCGTTGCTGACAGCACACGCCCAGAGAAGAGGCCGCCGAGGTGCAGAGCTGGAGCCGTGCATGAAGCAGTGAGGGAGTGAATGAGGTCCTGGCATGGAAGCGGTCGTCAGGGTGGCCGCAAGCCCGGGAGCGTGTGTCCCAGAGCAGCAGGCCCCGGGGTTTATGCTCCCCGCCCAAGGGAGGCATGTGCCAGGGCATCCTGCTGGTGCTCTCACTTCCTCTCCCCCACAGGAAAAGCGCATCTATGATCTGAAAAAGAAAAATCAAGAACTGGAAAAATTTAAGTTTGTGCTCGACTACAAAATAAAGGAACTGAAGAGGCAGATAGAACCGAGGGAGAATGAGATCAAAGTGATGAAGGAACAGATCCAGGAGGTGAGACGCCATCTGCTCACCAGCGTCTCCGCTGCTGCCACTCTGGCTGGTGGTGCCTGGTGTACCTGGGGCAGCGGGAGCAAGCTCTCCCCAGGGCCTCTCCCACGGCTAGGGCGTGCTCTGTGCAGGATGCCCTAGAGGAAGGAGATCTGACTCTGGTGCTCCGAGGGCCCCCCTGGGCCCTCTGAAGGGACCCCGCGTCTGTCCTGCCGTCACCAACAAGGGGCCAAGGGGGCCCAAACAACAACCCAAAAAAAAACCCAAAAGGTCCAACCTCCCCTCCCCCGGAAAAGCCGAATAACCCCCTTGCAAAGCCCTGGGGCTTAAAACTCAACCGAAAAAGAAAGGAAAAGCCCCAAAGGCCCTGGGCAAGAAAAGGGCAAAAATGGTTGCCCCGGGAAGCAAACAGGATGAAAGTGGAGTGGGGAGATCAACTGCATGCGGGCTCCTGAGAGTCAGGTGAGGGACAAGTGCCTGCGTGGCCCTCCATTTCCTCCTGACACAGTCACCTGTCAGCCTCCCCTCACCGGACAGAGCAGCTGAAGTGGGGTTCACCACTGGTCTCGAGTTGTGTTCCCAACTCTCCCAGCCCCACTTTCCATTTCTCAGTAAACAGTTCCAAGCCGCTCCCGCCCCCCCCACCTCCCCCCAGCTGCTAAGGTAGAAGTATAAACACCTTTCTTGATTCTTCTCTCCCCTTACCTCCTCTATCCAAACAGTCACCAGTAATCTGCCTGGCCCACTTCCAAAAATATGTCCAGTCCGACCCGCCTCACCCTGGTGGCCTCCTGGCTGGCCTTTCTGGCCCCAGTCTTGCTCTGTGAGCAGAACCTTTGCACTGGGCTTTCGAAGACACAAATCAGACCAAGCCAGTGTTTCCCTGAACTTGTAGGATAAACGCCGGACAGCTGACTGGTGTCAGCCTCTGGTTAAGGTAAAGGCTGAACTCACCGTTCCTGCCTCTGCCCTTGGCCCGGGTCAGTGACCGCTGCTACCCATCTTTGCTGTCCTCACATGCACCCCTCCTGCAGCCCCTGGGCCAGTCGTACCCCCAGAGATGCCCCAGGCTGCCCACACGCCATTCCTCTCTGCACATGGCTGTCCCCTCTGCCCAGCAGTCTCCTTCCCCACTATTCCCCCTACAGATCTCCCTTCCCGGGTGCCAGCTCCTCTGTGCAGGCCGATGTACATGTAGCTCCTGTCCCACCTTGACTTCTGGTTTATCCCCCCTCAGCCCTGAGGCTCCTCTTAATCTCTGTAGCCCCACCCTATGTTCCTCCTTTTGCTGGCCCTTTCCGGTGGACACCCTCTTCCTTCAGCCGAGCAAATACCCCGTTTGTGTGTGTCTGTGGGTGGCTCCACAGCCGTGCAGGGCTCAGGCCGTCCTCCCTCCCCTCAGGGTCTCTCCCCTCAGCCTGCTGTACTCACCATAGCCCTGCCACTGGGCCCTGTGACCACTCTGCCACTACAAAGCGCCTCCACACCAGGACAGGGCAACGTTCTTCTAAAGCTGCCCTTTCGTGTCAGACATGGAAATGGCTCACTGGGGCCTCTGGTACCCAGAGGTTGCCAGGAATCTTGAAATCTGACCAGAGGGGCAGCTCCATCCAGTCATGGGAAGCCCCGTGAGCACCCCCTGCCCCCCACAGTCACCGAGCCTCTCTGAATAGGGACCCCAGTGCCCACCAGAATGTGTGTGACCCACTGAGCGCCCACCAGCGTGGTCCTAATCAGAATGTCCACGGGCCTTTGGTCCACACTAGCACGCCAGTGAGAAACGCCCTCAGAGCTCGCTGCGACCTCTTCCTTTCAAAGTCGGCCACTCTCCTCAGAATGTGGGCCAAGGCCTCTTCTCGGCCGCCTGTTCCCCTCCTGTGCCATGGGCGCGTCCTCCAGTCCAAGCCCACACAACTTCCTGCTTTAGAATCGAAGCCTTGTGGCCCCAGCGGGTCAAGCCCACGCACGCACCCTCAGAAAGTAGGCAAGAGGGGCTTCTCCACAGAGCCTGCCTCTGTCAGAGCTGAGGTGCCGCCTGCAGAGCTCCTGACCTACGGGGAGCCCAGGGAGGAGGCAGCCAGCAAAGGGCCAGGAAACTAGGGAAAGTGCACAGGCGGCTGCAGAGCCTAGGCGAGCATCTCAATGAGACGGAGCGGTGCTTTCCGGTGGCAAGGAGGAAGCGAAATTGGTGTTTTCCTTGCAGAGAACATATGTAGGGGCTAGAAAAGAAGTGCCCTGGTTGCAGGAGAACACTCCCCACCGAGGGACTTGAGATCCCAAACACAGCTTGCAGCCCCTCGCCTTCTTCTGGACTCTCCCTTGTTCACTACAGATGGAATCTGAACTGGAGCGTTTCCACAAGCAGAACACGCAGCTGGAGCTGAACATCACGGAACTGTGGCAGAAGCTAAGAGCCACGGACCAGGAGATGCGTAGAGAAAGACAGAAGGTGTGGGGCTCGCAGACCTGGCGGTGCCTGGTTCAGGAGGGGCTCCAGGGAACCCTCGGCCGTGGCTCAGAGGCACCCGCTGCGCTTACATTCCGGCCCACAGCCCTGCCTGGCTTCATGCCAACTGCCCGTGCAAACTGACCAACTGAGGCCATCTGAGGCCGTCGTTGACTTGGGGTGAAGGGATCCAGGTGCAGGAAGCCAGTGTCCCAGGAGGCTCCCCACCTCGGCTTGCATGGCCTGGGGAGGAACATACTCAGGATGGCCATTGTAGTCAGGGGCCAAAGGCTTAGTGGGCCCAGATATGCTGACCTCAGGTCATCCAGTCCTCTAGTCCTTCAGTACAATGAAGGAGATGGGGAGGCCGAGAGACTTCCCTGGCACCCAGGGCTAGAACTCTCGAGCACACTGGATGCCGGGTCTTCTGGTCCTGGGCCCGAAGGTGGCTATGCCTTCACCCCCGAGCTCGGGGTCCAGCAATGAGTGTGGGCTTGGGTGGGATTTCTCCACCCCCCACATTAAGCCTTGAGGCTGTACCAGGTAACACTAGAAACTGCAGAGCTACACGCCTGCAGACGCGGGGCCTGCCCCTCTTCACCTCGCTGGGAGGGCTGAGCGTGAGAATTAGGAATTAGGAGAGTGGGATCATATAAGGGACGGTGAGAACCTAGAGAAAGGCGAGACTGTCTGAAGGGGAGGGGAGACGGCTAACAGAGAAAGCAGTTTCAGATGAACCCATCTGCCTGATTTTTTTTTTATATAAAGATTTATCTATTTGTGCATACAGAACTGGGGTACAAGCCAGAGGCTCAGGGGCAGCAAGAGGCTTCACCAGAGACAGAATGGGAAGCAGAATAGGCAGATCGACAAAGTACACTGCTGAGGGGGGCAGTGGGCAGGAGAGGTCTGCCGTGCCATGTGAGTCACCTCCAGGACGGGATCAAACTTGCGCAAAAGCGCTGTGGCCAGCTTGCAGTGCTGCGTCCTAACCTATTGCGCCACCAGGGAGGGCCTTCTTTCTTTTTTTTTAAAGATTTACTTATGCATACAAGAACTTGGGTGCAAGCTAGAGAATCAGAGGGTGAGAGGATTCACCAGAGACAGAGTGGGGAGAACAGGCAGACAGACTGAAATACACTGCTGAGGGGAGCAGCGGGTGGGTCAGGAGAGGTCTGCTGCTCCATGTGGGTCACCTCCCTGGCCAGGGGTTGAACTCATGTTGCAGTGGCTTAGAATGGCTTCATAGCGCTGCACTTTAACCAGTTGCGCCACCAGGGAGGCCCCTTCTTTCCTCTTTCAAGGTCTGTGGTCCTGAAAGCAACCCAGGGTCGATAAGGGAGTCAGTCGTGTGGCCCTTGAGGGTGAAGCAGGTGTAAGTCCTTCCAGCCAGGTGCCCGGCCCTGGCCCGGGGCACAGCATTTTAGCCCTCCTCGCCCGTCAAGGTCCCTGTGCCTGGATGAGACGCCTCTGTCCCTTTCTGATGCCACTAGCCTCTGCAGCCCCTCTGCTCCTCCTGGCCGCCCCCACATTGCCAAGGTACTTGCCTCCACTGCAGGAGCGAGACTGGGAGGCGCTGGTCAAGAGGTTTAAGACAGACCTTCACAACTGTGTGGCGTTTATCCAGGAGCCCCGGCAGCTGAAGGAGAAGGTCCGGGGGCTCTTCGAGAAGTATGTGCAGCGGGCAGACATGGTGAGCTGACCCCCGTCCCTGCCCTGCCTTGCTCGGGGGTCCCCGGCCCTCACGGAGAACCCTCCCGCCCTGTCAGGTGGAGATCGCCGGGCTGAACACAGACCTGCAGCAGGAGTACTCCCGGCAGCGGGAGCACCTGGAGCGGAACCTGGCCACGCTCAAGAAGAAGGTGGTCAAGGAGGGCGAGCTGCACCGCGCCGACTACGTCCGCATCATGCAGGTACCAGCACCTGCCCTCAGCTCCCCGGGTTGGACAGGAGAGGCTGTCAAGGCCCTCCCTGTCCTCAGCCCCCCACCCAGGTGTCCAGGGGACCCACTCGCTTCCCCTGCAGCCCGCTCCTCGGTGTCACTTGGCCCTCCCAGAGCCTGCCCGGCCGTGTCTGTGACCCGCAGCCCCACACACGGTTTTCTAAGCATTTCCACATCCACACCCAGCCGCCTTCCTGCACTTTACTTTCACCCCACCAGGCCCCATCTCACCCCACCAGGCATCATTTCTTTTTCTGCCCCATCTCTATCCTCCTCTCTGACCCTGTCTCCTCATGCACGTGGCTTTAGCACTCCTGAGTCACTTTCTCCTGTTTCCAGCTCTTATCTCTGCTGGCTTTGCTTAGCTGCCTTTTAGTCACTGCGTGTGTCACATGGTCCCTGTGGCAGAGTCCGCGCCCCTGAGCCGCTGGCTCCACCGCCTCATCTGACTTTTCTGGTACCTCAGGTCCATACCCTCATCTCCTGGGTGCCGGCCTGGCGGCACCCGCCCCAGGAACTGGCCCGGCTCTGACTCAGTGAGCCCTCCACCCCTCACCTCACTGCTCCCTCCTCCCCTCGGCGCGTTCTCAGCACCGGGGACCTCAGTTTGGGTATCAGTATCATCTGAGGCAACCCATGCGAGGTAATATATCACAAGAGAACATCAGAAGCCTACTTATAAGGCATGTACCTTTTTTGTGTTTAGGTGTCTTTAATGCCATAATCGAAATACTGGCATGGGGCTAGGCCGCAGCTGGATTGAAATAACCCAGTTCCCACTTGGCCCGCACACACCTGGGCAGAGCCCACAGCTCTCTTCAGTCCAGACCCAGGCACAGTGGCCTCCTGTCCTCACAAGCAGCCCCTGCCAGGAGGCAGCCCACACTGTCAGACCACCGCCCTGCAGCATCCTGGGCTGTGACAGCAGGCAGAGGCCCGAGGTAGGAGTGGATGGAGTTGGCAGGCCCCTGAGGCAGCAGCCGCTGACGCCCAGAGCCGTGGAGCTCCTCCAGAGCCCTGGAGCGCAGCGTGGGGCGGTCTGCAGCTGGTGGCACTGCTGCGCCCCAGCCCATCCCAGCACTGGCCTAACCAGAGGTGGCCCCCAGGGGCTGGGGCCCTCTCCCCGTGCCAAGCAGACCCCCAACGCGATGTCAGTCCTCGGAGAAGGAAAAGCAATGACAGTAAAGGCCACAGGAGACCCAGGGCTTGAGGAAGAACAGTGTCCACTTTTGGCTCCCACAGCTCAGACACTGTCTGCCCCTCCTGCTGGGCCAGTGAGCATCAGGGTGGAGGGAACAGAGACCAGCCTCCCCCTTCTAATGGCTGGCTGCGGGAGCCATGGGTGAGGGGTCCCTGGAGAGTGTGTTTTGGAACAGCATTTTCAGCCCGTCTCCTCGGGAGCCCCGTGGGTCCAGGGAAGTGAGTCAGGCAGCTGCAAAGAGCGACAGGAGCCCAGAAGGCTCTGGGTCCTCACCCTCAACCAGGAAACCCCTTGCTTATTTTAGGGCTCTGTGTAAGAAAAATCTGGAAGGTGGGGCTTGAGAGCAGGCAACCCAGAGCCTGGTACAGAACAGGTATTCCAAAAATGCGCCTTCCCTTTTCTTTGTCAAAGCAAAAAGCCCACTGCAGACCCAAGGCAGACATCCAGTTGGAGAGGCTGGGAGACCTTCACAGATGGACTGGGGCCTGCAGGTGGGGGTGCAAGGGAGGGGGCCCCTCACGCCTAGATCTCAGCTGGTGACCCAGGCACCCTTGAGACCTTGGAACGTGCTGGCAAGGAACCTTCTGGAGCTGCGTCTGCAGGTCCCTTGGCACTTCAGCCAGAAAGGCCCAGCAAGGGCAGGGCGGACATGGCACCTGCAAGAAACTCATCAGAAAACAGAAAATGAGGCCACTGTCTCATTTGCATGTTCAGACAGGAGCATGGGGCCTCCCCATTCATTCAATGGCACATGCTTACAGATAGGCAAATGAGCATTGCTACGGAATACAAACATCTAGGGCACACTTACTCATTCGGGACACATTTTTTGAGGGCTTGTACACGCCGAGCTCCATGCCAGTGGCCATGGAAGATTCCAGGGTGATGTGATAGCTTATCTGCCCGCACCGTGCTGTGGTGGGAGACTCGAATCAGATAGCAATCATCGCGGCTGGATATGGCATGTCTGGGACTGTGTGGGCCCACTCAAGGTGACTCCAGCCATGCCTCAGACTCACAGAGGTTTCTGATGGGCTGTGGCATTTGAGCTGAGTCTTGAAGGGCAAGTAAAGGGTAGTCAGGGAGCGAGTGAGGGAAGAACCTTCCAGGCAGAGGGCACCCACCCAAGAACAGGCAGGGAAGCGAGAGCCCTAGGGGAGTCTGGGGGCCTGGGAGCTCCAGGGGAGGGAGGAGTCCTCTGGGGCCAGGGGGAGCTGAGGCTTGCCTTGAGGGGGCTGTCATGCTGCAGCGAGAAGCAGACAGTTTGTCTTGTAAGCAGGTGCCACACAGGTGTCCCAAGCAGGTAGGAGTGCTATCTGTCTGGAAAGTGTAGCTCTGCTGGGGCATGGCAGTCTCACCAGGGAAGAGGCAGGTAGAGAATGACTGCAGGGGAGGGGAGATGAGGAGGGCTTGGAAGAGGCGTAGACAAGTCAGAAGTCATTTCAGAGAGAAACGATAATAGAAATATCAGGTTCAGTGTGAGAAGAGCGGTGAAGCGGCACATTTATCAGGCATATGGCAAGGCGGCCAGCTGTGGCTCAGAAACACCCCACTGATGCTGGCTTCCAGCTTCGCAAAAGCAATCTGTTGCCTGCTTTTTCCATAGTGCAAGGCTCTGCCATATTCTTAACGGTGTTAACTCAGGAAATTCCGCAAGGGGGCGCCATAGGCATTCCTTCTCTTCTCTGCCCCACCTGGGAGGCTGCAAGAGCCTCCTTCCCATCTGTAGCTCTCTGGCATCTCTCTCAATCAAAAGCCATCCTGGGCGACTCAACAGCATGGCGCCTCTGTTTAGAAGGCTTCTGCCTAAACAGACCTTGGCATCCGAGTCTGAAAAGAAAGCTCCCTTCTTCAGACTCCACCTCGTCTCTCCACTCTGGGTCCAAGCTGGACCTCCTGTATCTGGCCCAGTGACCAGTGCACAGTAGGCCAGCATTCAGGCACTGGCTCTTAGGCGAGTTTTATGAATGAGGCCTGGGCTGTATTGACTCAAGGGCCTCAGACACACTCTGATAAGAATGAGTCATATCCTGAGGACCCATGTGGGTGGCCGGCACCCTGGAGGTGCCCCAGGCTGGCGGTACAGTCAGAGGCAGGCATTCCCACCTGAGGTGTGAGGCCGGTGATGTCCAGATCCTGGTGACAGGGTTGTCCGGGTGGAGAGACAGGGAGAAACTTGGCCCACGGCTCCACCTGGGACCCTTAACGACAATAAAGGGTCAAAATGTCGAAAACTGGTCTGGGAATCACAGCAGGAAGAGGGAGCACAGAAGTCAGGTCAGCACTACCCTGACCAGACTGGGTGACAAGGCAGCTAGAGGCGACCAAGAAGTAATTAATGATGTGAACAGAGAGCACTGGAGGAAATGGCACTTTCAGCCTCTAATCTTTATTCTGAGAACCATTACTTTATTAAAAGACAGGAGTGAAGCTAAGTGATGTCACCAAGAGGGGCGCGGAGAGCCCAGGAGCTGAGACGCCCCCCGTCTGACCTCCCCTCTGTTTGTCATCTCCTCATTAGTAAGAGTCTTGTCTTACGTGACTTGGTAGCTGCTGCATTAGTGATTCATTTGCTTAGCTATTCCACAAATGTGCATCCAGCACCTCTCACATGCAAAGCAGAGTCCAAGGTCTTAGAACCCATAAATATGTATTTAATTGATTTTTTCATGAGACCTGGAGAGATTCCAGTGGCAGGAAACAAGCAGAGTTTGACTGGCGGGGAGATGTAGGAGATTCACCCCCAAGGCCTGGGCTGGCTGAAGGGTATAAGATCAGATGGAAGAAACCTGCTGACTAGAAACAGACACAAGGCGCAGCATGAGGGTGAGGAATTGGCAGTAATTGGGCCTCTCGTCCAAGAGGGGGAGAGTTCTTCTTCACTGAGGAATACTGAACTTAAGAAATGCACGGACAGTCTGATGGTCTGTCTGACCTGGTTAGATAAAGACACCCTGGGAGGGGGAAAGAATATGTTGGGGTACCCCTGCTCCCTCTTGAGTCCCACATGCATAGCCCCATCACAGCCACGCTGCCCACGGCTGGCAAGGCTGGCAGTCTCCTGTCTGCTACTGTCACCGCTGGGGTAGCGTGCTTAGCTCCCGGCTCAGGTCCGTTTCATTTTAGGCGGATTTGGCCTGCATTTGCCCTTTTTGGAATTTTGACCCTCAAGGGTTTTGCCACTCATGAGATGGGCTGGCCTTGTGGGCTGCAGCAGCATCCCCTGGGAGCTGGTTAAAGCACAGATCTCAGACTCAGCTCCTGAGCTAGCAGCCACACTCAACAGCACCCTTGGTGGGCACTGTACAAGGCTGGTTGAGTAGTCAAGGGCTGAGGCCGTGGGCTCTCAGAACAGTCAGCTGAGCCCATTCTGGGCATGTGGTGACAGGGACACCCGTGCACAGCTTCCTTGTTGCCCTTGTGCCAAGCATGATGGGGGAGGCAGTGACTCGAGGTATGGGGAGAGAAGAAATAGCCTGGCCCCAGAGCCAGAGGCAGCACCTCCCGGGCTCCAGCCGCCTCTGCATCCTCACTCCTACCTGTCCCCACTCTGTGCCAGTGATGTGGAACTGCCATGCGTCCCCACCTACACCCCTATGTGCTGTTGTAACTTTGCTCCTGCTGCGCGCTTACCCTCTCCTTGGTCACTTCAGTCCATCTGGTCATTCGGGCAGAGTCACTCCCTTTGCCCCACTACTCCATCTCACCGAGATGACCACCAGGCCATACTGTGCCCCTGTACTCCTACCCAAAATTTCTCAAGAGCAGAGGCCAGGTCTTATTTGGATGTAGTTCAGAATCAACTCAGTGCCTGCCATATGATAATACTTTGTCAGTATTGAATGGATAAATGGATTTTTGTCCAACACAAACAAGAGAAGTGAACTTGCAATGGATATTGTCTTGGAGTATGTCGTCTTGCAACAAATGTTAATTAATCGTTTGATATTCTGTGTTCCCCACTAAGCAATATACTATTAAGAGCAGAAATGATATCTTAAAATCAAAAGCTGTAAGATACTCTTAAAGGAAATAAAGAAACAAAGAAATGGAAAAATATCCCATATTAGATTCAACATAATACATACTGAAATCACATTGACTTATTTTATGAGGCCATAAAATACTTGAAAATTTATATGGAACCACAATAGACCAGGAATAACCAAAGCAATCCTGAGAGAAAAGAAGAAAAATGGAGGTATCACATGGCATGCCTTGATTTCAAACTATACTACACAGCAACAGTAATTAAAACAGTATGACACAAAAACAGAAATACAGATTGATGGAATATTGTCCAGAAACAAACCTACGTGAACATGGACACCTAATCTTGAACACAAGAGCCACAATCCTCCAATAGAAAAAGGATATCCTCCTTAGCAAATAGTTCTGGGAAATATGTCAAGTCACATGCAAAAGAAAAAAAAATTAAACTAGATCCTTATTTAACTCCAGACTCAAAAACTGACTTAAATAAATTAAGAATCTTAGGCTATAAAATATTGCAGAGAGAATATTTGAGAATGCAGCCCCAAATGCAAGTGAAACAAAAGCAAAAGTAAACAGGTGGGACACCATCAAAATAAAATTCTTTTACACACTGGGAAAAGATATCTGCTCAGCACACATCTCACAGAGCACTGACTTCCAAAATGTATAAATTGCTTATTCAACCTAATGAATCAAAACAGCCCAATAAAAAAAAAAGGGGGTGTGAGGA